CACAGCTAAATACAGGTGAGGCTGCCGCCTCCTTGGAGAATATACAGCTGGCACGGAAGCCTCCCCAGCTGTCATTGCTCACAAGTACCTGGTTGTCAAATGGACAGCTCTGCAGACTACACTGTTGTACCCTGTGGGGCTCCGCTGTCAGTTTGACAAATGTCCTGCTCTGTGGATCAGGATTGCTGACAGCTTTTTTTTTTTTTCCTTCATAAAATTTGTAACTCTTATTAAAGCTCTCTTTAGCAAATCTTTTTACCTTTTTTTTTTTTTTTTGTGTTTTTTTTTGTTTTTTTTTGTTTCACTGTTCTTCCTGCTCACACTGCTATTCTGCAAATAAACCTTTTATATAGGGCAGGGGTGGACACATTAATATGGAATTTGGGAGCCAAACTGTTCAATCCAGAAGCCATCAGGATTTTTTTTTTAAGCCAGTTCTATTGACAACAACTAGGAAAAAATGTAGGTGTCAGCTGTAATTTTTTTTTTTTTTTTTTAATTCTTATTATTATCTTTTTATTTTGAGGCAACGTTTTACAATATACATACAACACATAAACAATAGAGCCATTAGAACGTACAGGTACATACTGTAAAAGTATATCAACATCTTCCAGTCCCATTCGCTGAGGTAACCAAATATTTACCATTTAACAGTACAACATCATGTGGCGTCTGGGCTATCTGGGATGATTGCAATGCAGATCTTATAGGTCCTGAAGTACAATAGGCAATAACTTTGATAGGCAAGGGTGGGGAAGCCCAGGGATCCACTAGTCTGCTTCCGCAGACTGAGGAGTGGGGGAGGGCAAATAACCCCTTGGGGTAAAATAAGGAGGAGGGAAGGGGTAGACAGTCAATAAGAAGGGAAGGCATCGCTAGCAAGGGGGCATAGAAGGGAAGGTAAAGATCGCCGGGACTTGGTAGAGCCTGCTGAAAGGGCCACTCACAGGGTATTCCTTCGGTGGCTGTGTAAGGGGGGGAAGTTCATACAGAGTATGCTCGTCCCTCAGGGGAATCCATGTACTCCAGCCAGTAGAACCACGTCTTTGAGTAACGCTCCTGCCTTCCCTGGGAGGAAAGAACTATGTCCTCCATTGCCCTAATCTCCTCCACCCGGCGTACCCACGTAGAGATTGCCGGGGAGGAGGTGTTTCTCCAAAGGCTCGAGATGCAGGATTTAGCCGCATCCAGCAAGTGGTGCACCACCGATCGGGAGTAAGCTTTCCTGGACATTGGAATGTTGTGTAGCAGGAAGATTGAGGGGTCCAACGGGAGGTCAGATTCCATAAACTTTTGTACAATGTCACGGACCGTAGACAAGAATTGTGTTAAAGCAGGGCACGACCAAAAAACATGGAGTAGAGTACCCCCATCTGTGTTACATCTCCAGCAGACATCGACAACTCCCCCATATATTTTGTGTAAAAGCGCCGGTGTGCGGTACCATCTCATAAGGATCTTATAATTGGTCTCCTGATATGTAGTACAAATCGATGATCGTAGGGTAAAGTGAATGATATTCCGACATTGGGCTTCCGAAAGTGTGATTCCCTAGGTCTCGTTCCCAGTGCGTCAGGAATGCAGGTTTCCCGAGGTCAGTTGGTGCTGAAAGGGTAGCATAGATCTCTGATAGAGTATGTTGCGTCGGTCCCCTAGAATCGCATAGTCTCTCAAAGGGCGTATGTGTATTTCCAAAACATACTGCTGGCGGCAAGGTAAGTAAGAAGTGTCTCAGTTGGTAAGCCTTCCATTGATCTAAGCCAAATACTCCGTCGGCATCAGTAAGGGTTTGCATGGAGGGCCACGTACCTCTGCTTAGAAAATGAGACGCTTGAAACAGGTTTTTGGTGAGCAAGAGACGGAAAGGACCCGATAATTTACTTGGCGGAAAAGCCGGGTTACCCATAATTGGGTAAAGCGGGGAAGCCTCGGAAATCAGACGCCACCTGGTAAGTGCCTTTGAGCTTACCGCCAGAGTCGCCCCGATCAGGGGGTGGGCCTTAAGCGATGGGGGAAGAGTCGAGGGACACCATGCCATCCTAGCCAGGAGATAGGGCGACACGGATTCCTCCAAGGGCACCCATTGTTTGGTAGAGGAATGCCTGCACCAGTCAACTAAGCGAACCAAATGGCTAGCTATATAGTATTTTCGTAAATCAGGAAGGGCTATACCTCCCGAGTCTTTGGGTAAAGTCAGGAGGGAGTGACGCAAGCGAGGGTGGCGGTTAGCCTAGACAAATTTCGTCAGTAATGAGGTAACCTGCCGAAAGTACCTATCCGGGATTGCTATGGGAAGTGCTTGAAAGAGATACAGAAATTTAGGCAAAATAGTCATTTTGATAGCGTTGCACCGCCCAAACCAGGAAAAGAAGCCAGTTGGAGAGTATCACGCGTACCTGTGCCAGAAGAGGTGGGAAATTGTAAGTGAAGATATCTTTCACGTCCGGCGGTATGAACGTGCCCAGGTATTTCAGCGCTCGGGTCGTCCACTGGAAGTGAAAATTATTTTGCAGAGAGAGTGAGCAGAGGTGGGACAGAGATTCCCATGGCACTGGATTTGCTGAAGTTGATCTTCAGGTTGGACAGCTCACCATACACCGCAAATTCCTGCATAAGCCGGCTGTAATTTTTAACGAGCATTAGCTATCTGGCTCCTGGGATTTGTCCGGCCCTGATGTAGGGTGACCTGTAACACTGGTGTTGGAGTATAACTGGATTTCAAAAATGCAGAAAATACTTCTTTGTTCTGTGTAGTAGCTCAGGATCACCTTGAGCAAATAAAGCCTTTACTCATTAAATGTGGGCTAGCGTTAAATACGTTTGGTTTACCTGATCTCTTAGATGGCTGAGATTTCTTTTGTAGAGAAAATTTGATTTTGATCGGATCAGATGATATTTTAAACTGCTAATTTTCTTTCCTAGGAAAACCTTTAGTAAGAGGAATACAGAAACTGCCATTGCTAACCTCCTTCATCTGGCTTTAGTACTTTTAAATCACTGGCCTAGAACGAGCATGAAGAACTGGAAAGTTGAAGGAAAATCATAAATACTGATCAGTATTCTTGTTCTGAATTGGTGTTTTAGAAAGTAAAAAGCCACAAATTTAGCATGATAACCAGGCAGTAGACCTTTTTAAGAAGTCATCAGCCTCCATACATCCTGAGCCCCGGTAATCCAGACAAAATGTAGTTCTGGTGTAGAGTGAGGAAGGGTTAACCCTCTATTAGATTCTTAATGCTTCTTGTGTCTGCATTTGGGAGGTTTCCTTTAATTTCCTTTTCTCAGAGATGCAACAGGAAGTGTGTGCAAATCTCCACAAAGTAAGGAAAAAGGCCACCTTTTGGCATTGGTCAGTGGAGCAGCTTTGATTCTTGGATATTTTTTGTTACCTCACTTTTTGATAACTGCTTTTAGATTTTTAATTTTCTTTTACTTTTTGTACAAGTGACAATAGTCTCCAAACTCTTCCCCACACTACCATTGACTAGTAAAGTGTCTTCTATGGAGTTTGACTTTAATGGAAATGTCAACCCGAATTGATGACATTG